ATTAAATAACTCATGCATACACATATTAATATGCACATAGCACCAAATCTAAAAGTTGACTTAATTTAATCTTGGCAAGTTTTTGTGAGACAAAGAATTTAAAACTGGAAAGGAAATGGCCTTAGCTGTCATCATGATATCAAATTATTGTAACCGAGCAGTGCATAAACTTTATTTGAACTTTAAACTACAAAGCAAAAAAAATAAAAATTAGATGAACTACAAATTTTCAAACACTAAAGAAAGAAAGAGCTTATTATGTTCCTCAACATGGAATAAATGCATTCTAGGATAAATCAGTTAAATCCCCGTGATGCATTGGAAATTAATGGCTGCATTTCTATGGACAAAGAAGCTCCAGAGTCCAAACCGGAACCTATTGATGTCGAGGTACCATCCCAGAGATTGGTTAATTCACTTTTGACAGAAATAACCTCTTCATGATTCTGTTGACCATTTGAATTGTTTTGCAAAAGACGAATCTGCTCTAACTCCACAGCAACTTCTATCATCTTTGGCCGCTTCTTACCATTCAAGCTCAAGCATCGATGTGCAAGTTTAGCAACCTTTGTTATCTCTTCACATGTAGAACTCTCCCTAACTCGAGCATCAAGAATACTAAAGAGACTATTCTCTTCCATGGAATGAATGAAATGAAAGGCCAAACTTCTTTCTCCTTCTGCCCTTGCTAAAGAAACTGGTTTTTCTCCTGTTAAGAGCTCAACAAGGACAACTCCAAAACTGTAAACATCACTTTTTTCTGTAAATTGACTAGATTGGTAATATTCAGGGTCTAGGTACCCAAATGTGCCCTGAACATTTGTGGTCAAATGAGTTTGATCAATGGCAATTGACCTTGATGTCCCAAAGTCTGAAACTTTTGCCCTGTACTTTTCATCCAGTAGAATATTTGAGGACTTGACATCTCTATGATAAATGGGAATGGAGGCTGCCGAGTGCAAGTAGGAAAGGGCTGCAGCTACTTCTGTTGCAATTGTTAACCGTCGTTCCCAGGTTAACGGGAAGTCTTCATTTTCATCATGAATGTACTGGAAAAGTGTCCCATTAGGGATGAATTCATAAACTAGCAAAGGAACTTCAGTCTCTAAACAACAACCTAATAACTTAACAATGTTTCTGTGATTAATTTGTGTAAGAATGACCACCTCATTGATGAACTCTTTAACTTTCTCTTTATCCAGTACTTTTGGCTTCTTAACCGCAACAATTCTTCCATCAACCAACATTCCTTTATAAACAGTGCCTTGGCCTCCCTGACCAAGAATTCTATTCCTGTTGAAATGGTCAGTTGCCCTCTCCAACTCCTTGATACTAAATATTTTGGTCTTTCCAATATTATCCTCAGTTGAAGACAGTTGTTGCTGCAATAATAAACCTCCATTTTGTTTGAAGAACTGCCTTTGAAGCTTCTTTTTCCTTCTCTTCTTTAAAATTTTGTGCGACCACCATGTACCAGTAATAAATAAACACGCTACTCCAAAACCTAGGCAACCTGCAGATATCAAGAGAGGAGAAACGAATGATTTCAGCAAGAGATATACGTGTATATCAAAACTTGATTATATAGAAGTCAACTTTTATGGTTAGAAAATTTGAAAGTAAATGAAATTAAATAAATAAAAGTACATAATTGTGCATATATGGTCTTTAAGAAAGATCTTTACGTGAAAAAGATGGTGAGAGATGGTGTTAGTATTGAAGTTGGGGACGGTAGACAAACCTCCCTTCTAATGACTGTTGGCTACTAGGAGATAGAATTTGTGATAGGCTACAGAATATGACCGAGATTACCAAATGTG